ACACGATTTATCCTGAAGCCTATAGCTTCATCTCCCTTTTGGGTCTGGCATTTGCTAAATGGGACGGCTGTGCTAAACCAATTAGAGCACTTTCATCTTCCCGGGTAAACTGTCAAAGCATCATCTTACACGGGAATTGCCTCAATTAGCGTAAGAGCTCAGAAACAAATACTTTTGTATAGAACGCCATAGGATTTGGCAAAAATTTCGAGGAGCCCTCAAAAGTTCAAAATTTATGATTTTTTGTCTCCTTTTTTTTGTTTTCTAGTGTTTAAGAACATCGAAATTTCATGACAAATCAGATATGATTTGCTATTTTATAAGAGTTTTCTCCCTCTTACTGACTTTGCTGACTGCTCTTAATTTTACGAAGGAACCTCTGCTAATCTTCCTGAAAATAATGGCAAGTCTCAATTAAATTCTAAACAGGGGAGGGGAGCTCCAAACCATCAAAGGATAAATAGTATTTATGAGATAAGTACTTCAATAGACCACTGGCCTATAAAGTATTAAAGGGCTGCTGGCTTAACAACTATTACTTTCCTGTTTCGTTCATTATAAAAAGAAGAGGTGGACTTTTTGGCTTTAACTCCACAAGACTCAGCTGTGCCTTACTTGCTTCGTTTAATCCAGCATCTGAAGATATTTTTTAATAAGAAGAAATGATGGAAAGAAGAGGTACTGGCTGGGGGGTTAGCGTGGGCAAGGCCTTGTTTTGACTAAGGGAAGCACTCACTCATCTGGGCAAGTGAGGCCCTTTACTTGTGTGGTTGGTGAGCACATTAAAGATGATGGCACTGATTCATCCTATAGCTTTGGGAAAGCTAACCTTTTAACTGCTCAGTTTATCCTTGTATCAATTGTGTAGAGATCTTTGGTGTTCCTGCTGATCGATGCCAGGACTCTATGTAAGTCATAAAACCCAAATGCCATTTCTGAATAGGAAAAATGCAACAAACGAAAATGTATGTCTTTGAAGTTCACTGGGGTCAGTCAATGTGAGGGATAGTCTCTGATCAATGCCTTACCTCCAGGGCCTATAAGAAATAACACCACAACCACCCAAGCTTATCTCAGTAGTCCTGGAGGCCCACAGAGCACATTTTAAAAAGAAACTGACTCAAGTAGTCTGAAAAAAACTAACAAAGCTGCATTCTACAAATACACTTGCTACTCACTATCGACTATCTCGTTATTCAACATTTCGCATTTACAACAATAGTAAAAAATCTACTATTTTTGTGCATTAACGACATACCTTTGGCAGTAACGATTGCCAAGGAGCAAGTTATGCAATGATATAATTTGGCAATTATGTAATGATGTAGTCATCCTCCATTTTGTGATATGATGTGGTCAGCCTCCATTTCCACAGAATGTCAATTTTTACATAATGACCTGGTCTTTGTAACCTAACCATGTTGATAAGTGAGGAGGGGGTGTAATGTCATATGACTTTTCTTCTACCTTAAAAATTTTTGTAATTTCCAACATTCATTTTAAAAACTCAGGTTCAGTGCTGTTACTTTTTAAAATTGGATTACAGAAAAAAAGAATAGCAGTAAAAGACTATAAAGGGGTTTGAAACTAATGAATGGTACAATTGGTGTGGTGTTGATTATTCACTTTCTTTTTCTAATGCCCCAATAATGCTACTGAGGTCTGAGAGCATTTTCTTGATATTCTGGATGTACAATTATTCAACCAGCTGCCATGGAAGTCAGCTCTGACTCCTGACGACCCATGTGTGTCAGAGTAGAACTGTGCGCCACAGGGTCTTCAATGCTGATTTTTCTGAAGTAGATCCCCATG